GTCTGTGTAAATATGGCCTGGCTTGAACACATGGAAATTTAGAAGACCAAAATGCATGTCCAAAGATTCACCATTGACCTCAGGGAATACAAATTGCAACAGTAATCATAATAATGACTCTCAGTATTAAGTAGATGTTGGATAGAATGCTAAGTGCCCCTATTGGCATAACTCAGTATCCTCATCAACCTCATAAGTCTTTATCACTTTCTTGCCTTGTGTAGACAAGAAAATACAGGCTCAGAGAAATGCAAAATCTCAGCTAAGCTTTTATAGACAGTAAACAGCAGAGTCATGATTTTTCTCCTACCCTTGTAACTTTCTAAGAAAAAAGATACTATGCAGTTTCCATTGCAAATTTGAAAATGTCACAAGCTTTAGGCAAAAATATTTTTCTTGCTGAAACAAACGAAATGTCTCTGAAGAAATAAAGATGGGTATCATTGTCGACTCCATGTACAACTTCTACCGCTGTTTTTCCATGAACCTAATTAGAAGAAACTCCTCCCCTTCTCAAAGGCTCAATCATTCTAATTATTTTTATCTTTCATCATTAACTGCATTTTCCAAAATGCTCATCCTTCTTGACATTCTTCTTGGATCACTCCCATGTTTTCACAGACTCATAGATCACACCCGCTTTGCGTTAATCTCATGTCACCCACTGCAAGTTTTGAATGACATAAATAAAGCCCAAAGAATGGATACATCTTGACTAAAGTGTTACTGCCTGAAAAAAGGGTCTAGCATAAGAGAGGATTACTCAAATTCTGGAAACAGATTGACTGTGCTCCTCATATCCTGGCTCTACCACTCCCTTGTTATGTGACCTTGAGCAAGGCTCTTAAACTCTTTTCATTTAGCTTCCTTATAGCAAAATGGAGATTAACTGGACATCCAATTGCTTTGTAAGGAGGGGTATGTGAGTTTTCACAAGTAAAGGACCCAGAATAATACCTGGCATTAGAGAATCTAGTACAGAAAGCTGCTAAAAAGCCAAGACATAAGACCTACCACATGGTAGGGAGACAGCCTATGACATTGGCATCCCAAGTGACTGTCATACACCACGACTTATAAACACTTAAAAATCATTTATTTTCTATCTCCTTTTTTTCTTTTCAAAATTCTCATTTCTTTTTCCTTCAAATGTTTCTTGTCTTTTCCTTTCTCCTTAAACTCCAAGCTTGTCATTTAATCTTAGGGATTTTCTTAGGGGGTTGATAAGAACATTGGTAACATTCTTTTTAGGAGGCTTCCCAATATACATACACTTTCCAAGAACATACAATTCAATGTGAAAGTCTTTTTTTATTTCTTTGATGTTTACAAGTAGAGCTTTGACAGGGATTGTTAGGATGTTCTTAAAAATAGTTTTACTTGGGAATATTTGTAATCTCCAATAATTTTATCCTTGTTTTAGGGAACAGTTACATACATATACTTATAAAACCCTTACAGATGATAAAGATAGGAAAGATCAGATGAATTCTTTCCTATCTTTAATAAAAGTCTGTAATCCAAATTAGACACTACATGCTTGTCATTTTAGTAAATTCTCCAGATGGTCTATAGACCTCATGCCTCAGTATGACAAAATGGCTTTTGTATCTACTCTAAATGAGTCCAAAGAAAACCCCATCCTATTCAACAATTATAACACATTTACTTATTCCTTACCAATATGAACCTTTAAGTCAAAAACAAACTCAGATTAATTCAAACACGAGACATTGGAAAATTGACCCTTTTGTCACTTCATGGTTGTATTCTCTGCTGGCCAAGGTCCTTTCACACAGCTTGACAAGTGTGTGTGAGGGCACTGCTGGACCACACAAACACAAATCCAATACCTAAAATTAGATCTTTACTAAATTACACTGCACTGCACTTTTACACCTGCTTGGCAGATAATACCCAGAAGAAAGGTATAATTACATAGGTTCTTTGGCAGAAATAGAAGACAGGTTAAAACCCAAAAAGTCACTAGAAGAGAAGGAAGGAAGGAAAGACGAGAAACAGAGTGGGGAGGGAGAGAAAGAAGACAAAATGAAAGAATCCTTTCCCCAAATCATGGTCAGCAGATATCAACAGCTTTCTTAGAAATGACTTCTAATGAGGATGTACTATGTGCCAGTCACTGTGATAAGCTTCTTATACCACTACAAATTAGTTAGTATTATCCAGAGTTTGCAGATAATGGAACTGAGTCATGGATAAGTTCAAGACTTGCCCAAGTTCATACAGCTAAATGGAAGTGAAGCCAATAATTCTTTTTTTTTAATGTTTATTTTAGAGAAAGAGAGAGCACATGCACATGAGCAGGGGAGGTGCAGAGAGAGAGGGAGACAGGAAATCTGAAGTAGGCTCTGCACTGGCAGCAGAGATCCTGATGCGGGACTTGAACCCGTGAACTGCAAGATCATGACTTAAGCCGAAGTCGGATGCTCAACCTACTGAGCCACTCAGGTGGCCCCGAACCCAATAACTCTTGAGAGCTTGAACTAATTTTATACCTTCTAATTATCCAAAATATAAAATATACATCGATTATCCACATTCTCTTCTTTTTTTTAATTGTGGAAAGAACATGTGTGGATATCCAGGTTTCACAACATCATTTGCTGAAGAAACTGTCCTTTCCCCATTGGGTATTCTTGATAATCTTGTCAAAGATCAGTTAAACATATATGCTTGGGTTTATTTCTGAGCTCTCTACTATGTTCCATTGATCTACGTCTGTCTATATGTCAGTGCAAACTATTTTGATTATTGTAACTTTATATTTTGAAATCAGGAAGTGTGATGCCTTCAGCTTTGTTCTTAAGATTATTTTGGCTATTCAAGGTCTCTGTGGTTCCATATGAATTTTAGGATTGTTTTTACTATCTCTGTGAAAAATTCTATTGGGATTTTTTAAAGTTTATTGTTTTGAGAGAGAGAGAGAGAGAGAGAGAGAGAACATGAGTGGGGAAGGGTCAGAGAGAGAGAGAGAATCCGAAGCAGGCTCTGCACTGTCAGCATGGAGCCCAACGCAGGGCTTGAACCCACAAACTGTGAGATCAATGACCTGGAGCTGAAACCACTCGTAGCCACGAGTCAGGCTACTGAGCCACCCAGGCACCCTGCCATGGCATTGTATCAATGATAGGCATTGTATTGGTTGGAGGTTGCCTTGGGCGCTACGGATATTGTTAACATTACTAAATATTCCAGTACACAAATACACATTTATTTCCATTCATTTATGTCTTCTTTAACTTCTTTCAGTGTTTTGTAATTTTCAGTGTAAAAGTCTTTTACCTGCTTAAGTTTATTCCCAAGTATTCCACACTCTCAATCCTCGTATGTCCTACTAGTTTTCATCTCGCTACTAGTAATTTTTGCAATGTCATTTATTATTGAGAACACTTTTCCCATTTATTTTCAAGATTTCTAAAGGTTTTATTTATTTTTTTTAATTTTTTTTCAATGTTTTTATTTATTTTTGGGACAGAGAGAGACAGAGCATGAACGGGGGAGGGGCAGAGAGAGAGGGAGACACAGAATCGGAAACAGGCTCCAGGCTCTGAGCCACCAGCCCAGAGCCTGACGCGGGGCTCGAACTCACGGACCGCGAGATCGTGACCTGGCTGAAGTCGGACGCTTAACCGACTGCGCCACCCAGGCGCCCCTAAAGGTTTTATTTTAAAGGATTCCTTATTTTACCTTAGTGTTATAGGTTGTTAAGTACAAATGAGGTGATAGGAGCATGTTTGATTAAAAAAATTAATCAAGCCATGAAGAGGCATGGGGGAAACTTAAATGCCTATTAAACATTGGAAGTCAATCGGAAAAGGCAGCACAGTATATGATTCTGGCTATATGACCTACCAGAAAAGGCAAAACTATGGGGACAGTAAAAATGACATTGTTTGCCAGAGATTGTGGTGGAGTAAGGGATGAATAAGTGACACACAGAGGGTTTTTCAAGCAGTGAAAATACTCCATTTGATATCATGTGATGGATACATGTCACTTTACATTTGTCCAAACCTATGTTATATATAGTGCCAAGGATGACTGTAATGTAAACTGTGGACTTTGGGTGATTACAGTGTGTCAGTGTAATGTCATCAATTGTAAAAATTCTACCATTCAGGTAGTGGCAGATGATAATAAAGGAAGCTATGCTTGTGTTGGGGTAGAGAGTATATAGGAAATCTCTGTCCCTTCTGTGCAATTTTGCTGTAACCTAAAACTTCCCTGAAGAGAAAAATAGTCTTAATTAAAAAAAAAAAAAAAAAGATCTAGCAACCATAGGTTAACATCCTGAAGTTAAAACAAAACAAAAAAAGTCCATCATTACTTAGTGCTTTTATTTTACTAGCCAGGGACCCATCATACTCAATGATAGAATAACAAATAACACAATTTTCTGCAACTCTTCGAGTAGTGAAATGAATATGGGATTACTTTTTCCTTAGCATGATCTATAAATTAAGCAAGAGAAATGTAATTCTCTCTGCATGGCTTTATTTCTATATGAAGATTAATTAAAGGTAATGTTTTTTTTTTGGTTTTATGTATAGTTTGTGTGCATTTGTGTTCATGAGAGCTTATGAAGAGAAAATATAAGCACATTAACACTCTGATATCCTTTCTTCTCTTTATGTTACACATATTTATAAAAGTAATACACATAAAACTTCAAATAATCTAGAACTACCTAAGGTAAGATTTTTTTTTTCCCACCTCCTACTTCCATTGCTTACAGGAATATACAATTTTCTATATAGAAGTATATGTATGTGAATATATGTATATGCATATATATAAGAATATATTTTAAAAATATAATGTATATATCTATTTCAAATGATGCATATATGCTATCATTAATAAAAGTGAGTTAATACCATGTATATTATTACACAACCTACTTTTTTCACTTTAAATTTTAATAGGGTTTTTTCCTTGTCTCCACATACCAATCTATGTCCTTTTTTTCTTGTGGCCAGGTGGGATCCATATATGATGACAAGAGCTATAGCGGCCAGCTTGGAGTCAAGGATGAAGGTCATATCTGGAGGATGATAGCATCATCTGATCTTTGATCTGTTACAAGGTAGTACTTTTTTCATGCCATTATGTTTTGGAGTTTGTTAGATTGCCTTAGACTGTACCCTAGTAAAATGTCCCTCATTGCTCAGTTCCAGTGGCATCTATTCTGGGAAGCCTAGATTTCCACTTCCTTCAGTCATAAACCAATCAGAACTGGCCATTCATATCCCAGTGCTCTTTTCACTTTGAAAATGTTTCTTTCAGCTTATAATTCTCTGGTTTTATTCTACTTCTTATAATGTAATGTCTGATGTTAACAAAGAAGCCTATCTAATATTCCAGACTAAGTTAGGTGCTTTTGTCCTGTGCTATCTTAATACCCTCTACTTCTGTATAACAATTATGATCCAATTTACCTTGTCACTGTTTACCTGCCCACTATATTATGTAAGCTCCACATGGCAGAATCTTGGCTGCCTCCTGTATCTCCAACTTCGACAGGAAATGTGGCACATCATAGGCTCACAGAAAATGCTTATTGGATAAATAAATGGTCTCCTTAAAGGTAGGAAATATAGATCAATCATATTTGTAGCCCATTCATTGCTAAGCCTGGTGTCTGGCACCCCTTTGGTGGCCCGTAAATGTAGAATGCAACAAACTAGGTTTGAATGGGATGCTATTGGAAAAGATAGGATGGGCTTAAAACATCAGTTCCAGGGGCGCCTGGGTGGCGCAGTCGGTTAAGCGTCCGACTTCAGCCAGGTCACGATCTCGCGGTCCGTGAGTTCGAGCCCCGCGTCAGGCTCTGGGCTGATGGCTCGGAGCCTGGAGCCTGTTTCCGATTCTGTGTCTCCCTCTCTCTCTGCCCCTCCCCCGTTCATGCTCTGTCTCTCTCTGTCCCAAAAATAAATAAACGTTGAAAAAAAAATTAAAAAAAAAAAAACATCAGTTCCGCGAAGGGCCGCGGGTAGGTATTTTTGGTGAACAGGATCTTCAAAAGTCTTGCAAAAAGTCTTATAAAAGACTTACCTGCCAGTGTTTCCATCAATGCATACATTAACATTTCTTTATTTCTGAGACATAATCACTGGAAGTAACAGTAAAAAAAAGAACCAGACAGGAATGGCTGTTACATAAATTCTAAGATGAGTCTTCTGTACCTTAAAAGCAGTTGTGTGACTTTTCATTTCAACTCGAAACCTCACACCCACCTTCCATGGTCAAGCATTTGTGAGCAAATTCATCATTAGTTAATTTCTTTAGGTATGGGGAAAGAGGTTCTACTTACACAAATGGGTTAGAATGGGATCATGTGTAACTTGTTATACCACCTGCAGGAAATTACTTCCCATCTGATGCCAATATACTTTTGTACTTTGATCACAAACTCCACATGTCCCCCAGGCTCTTTGCTTCTTACACACACACACGTTAATGATTACTGTCTGATTGTTTTCTCCACATTCACATATGTAGGATCTTGTTTTCTTCACATTCACCACGTGGGTAATATGTTGTGAGCTCAGTGAATATGGAGATGAAACCCCTGTTTGGGGTTCTTGTCTCCTCCCGGACATTAGCCTCTCTCATATTCAATTCTGTGTCAGCTCTCTTGCTGGACAAGAGAGAACTCCAAACTCATAGTCTGCAACACATAAGCAAATCATATCCTAGATTATTAAGAAAACAGAATTTATGCTTATATTTGGGGAAATAGATAAATGGGATACTTAAATATGTAAATGGTTTCTCATTTATTATCATTAAAATTATTTGAAAAATACCTTCACAAATATGTTGTATATTAAAATTATATAGAAATTGAAAGAAATATCTAGGGTTGATATGCTAAGTGAAATAAGTCACACAAAGACAAATACCACATGATTTCATTTATATGTGAAATCTAAAGAAATCAAGCAAACTAAAAAAACCCAGACTTTTAAATACAGAGAACAAACTGGTGGGGTAGGGGTAGGGGATGGGCAAAATAGGTAAAGGGGCTTAAGAGGTACAGACTTCCAGCTATAGAATAAATAAGTCACAGAAATGAAAAGTACAGCATAGGGAATATAGTCAATAATATTGTAATAACTGTATGGTGGCAGATGGTGAAAACATTTAAAAAAAAAGAAATTTCTAGGTTGACACAGTGAAGAAACTTCAAAAAATAACATATTTGGGACATTTACTTTGAATCCTCAACAGTTCTATTCAACTCCCCCATATGAAAACAGGTTGATATTAAGTTCTCTAAATTTTCCATATTTTCCACAAATATTTGTATATAAACAGAAGTGATCACAAACACATGTGTTGTATGTATCCAGAATAGATTGACTGATGTGATCAGTACTCTGCAACATGAAATGGAAATTTCCTTAATATCACCCAGGCCTCTCCTTTTGCTGTCTGCATGTCATGTAGTCCTTGACTATCTTCCTCTTTCAGAAGGCTCTGTGGGAGCTCTCAGCCCTCACTTATGACTTGGCATATAGAATCATGAATTAAATTCTATGCTCATTTTATTTGCTTATTTATATGAAGATTGATTATTCCACAGTGTGAAATAATGAACATTCAAGTGATGGGAAATCTGAATTTGTGAAACCATTTGTGGAGGTATTGACTGTTTCAGAATATTTCCACTGAAATGGATGATACTGAACAAATTGCCTTATTTTTTTGTCTCCCATGATTGCCCCAGGCCCCTGAAAGAAATCTCAGACATGATTTTGAATTGCTCTCTCAACAAAAAGTTATAGGTTATTTACAATTTTCTTGATTCTGAAATTTGTAATTTCCCGTCTCATTTAATAATCAGAGTAGCGGGGCGCCTGGGTGGCACAGTCAGTTAAGCGTCCGACTTCAGCCAGGTCATGATCTTGCGGTCCGTGAGTTCGAGCCCCGCGTCAGGCTCTGGGCTGATGGCTCAGAGCCTGGAGCCTGTTTCCGATTCTGTGTCTCCCTCTCTCTCTGCCCCTCCCCCATTCATGCTCTGTCTCTCTCTGTCCCAAAAATAAATAAACGTTGAAAAAAAAATTAAAAAAAAAATAATAATCAAAGTAGCAAAACTGAGTAAAAGTTAAATCTTTCCCTAAGCCCAAACCAACATGGCGGAGGATGCTGTGGATTGCTTCCCTCGCTCTTTCCTTGCTCCTCCTCTCTCCCTTGCTAACAGGTTTCTGGCAGAAATGAAGAGGGGTCAGTGTCAGTGAGTACGAAGGCTCCTAGTTGACTGATACTGTTGTAAATTGGCCTCGTTCCCTCTCAGCCTGGAAGACTTTCTCTTTTTCAGAAGGACACTCCCAATCCCTACTATCAGGGACCACTCACCTGGCTGTCATTGACCTAAGGTGTGTGCTCTTGCCTCCACTGGTAATGTATTCCCTTTGCAGCTTCTTAGGAAACTGGCAGCCCCAGGAGGCTAAAAGGATCCATTACATGTAATGTAACATGTAATGTACATGTAACTGATCCATTACATGTGGCTTATGGGTGGTCCACAGAAAAAAACTTGTGAATCCTTTTCCCCAATAAACTTTGAGAGAGCAGCTCACCCAGAGTTTCCATCTTTGACTTTAACATCTCTACCATTAGTTAACCCAGTATATTTCTCAGCAAGTAGCCAGACACCAGCACACTTTCTCCAGCTGCTGGGTACACACATTGAGCTCCATGTTCATGTCTGTAGGTTTTCAGTGAGCTCAGTGCAGGTCTGTAGTTTCATGCATCAGCTCTTAAAGCATCCCAGGAGAGCCCAGGGCCATAGTATAACTTTCGTGGGCCCTAAGCGACTTGCCTTCCTGGCTCTTTCTTTTCAAAAACATACTAAAACTTGTATTTTATAATTGCATTGGCGTAAAGGTGAATATAATCCAGACTGGATCATATAAATTTTTTCTTCTGATTTTTAAAGGATACTGAAACATTTTCATGAGCCTCTTCATGCTTCCTAGGCATTGTGCCCCTGGCCTGAGTGGAGAAGCCAGCCCTGAGTAAACCTGCATAGATTTAACCAATATATTGAACAAGTGAGACTCAGGAGGATGTTGTAACATAATTTTATTGTTTTATTTTCTCCTACTAACAATTTAGTGAGCACCTATCACGTACTAGGCACTGTATTAATAAACACAACAGGCACCTGTTGTTTTCAGCATTTGTATGTCAGATAGGTGATATAAAGGTAGTGAAAAAAATAACAGGGCAATAGTGCTAAAAAAAAAAAAAGAAAAGAAAGAAAAAGAAAAAGAAAAAGAAACCACAAATGCTTGGACACATTTATGTAATAGATTCTACTCTTGTCTGGGCCAAGCCCCACCTGGGGGAACATGGGCATGTACTTGATAAGATATAGTTGGTATAGTTGGTAAGATATAGTTGTGTTTCCTTTCACATTAATAATGAGTATGGCAAGGGGTGCCTGGGTGGCTCAGTCAGTTGAGCATCCGACATCGGCTCAGGTCATGATCTCACAGTTTGTGAGTTCAAGCCCCACATCGGTCTGTGCTGACAGCTCAGAGCCTGGAGCCTGCTTTGGATTCTGTGTCTCCCTCTCTCTGCCCCTTTCCCGCTCATGCTCTGTCTCTCAGAAAATGAATAAACGTTAAAAAAAAATGAGTATGGCAAAGTCTGTGTCCACTTGGATGGGGAGCTCTGGTTTGGGTCTCTGCAGCATCTGTGAACTTTGGCCAGGTACGCTAGAGTCCGTGTTTCTAGACTCAGTTTCTTCATTAGTAAAAAAAAAGAAAGGAAAAAAAAGAGAAAGAGAGAAAGAGAGAAAGAAAGACTAGAAAAGAAAAGAAAAGAAAAGAAAAGTTTAGGGGCACCTGGGTGTCTCAGTTGGTTGAGTGTCCAACTCTTAATTTTAGCTCAGGTCATGATCCCAGGGTCGTGGGATCAAACCTTGCGTCCAGCTCCATGCCAAGCATAGAGCCTGCGTAAGATTCTCTCTCTCTTTCTCTCTCTCTCTCTCTTTCTCTCCCTCTCTCTCTCCCTTCCTGCCTCCTTCTCTCTTTCTCTGCCCCTCACCCATGTGTGCGTACGGTCTCTTTCTCAAAATAAAATAAAATAATTTTTTAAAAATTTTAAGAGAAGTTGTCTCTAATGCCCCTGCTGCTCCATAACAATTAAGGAAGTGAGGTAAAATATATTTTTAAGTATTGATAAATCTGATTTAAGTCCATTAAGTGGACACGCACTCTGACTAAATATTATTTCCTGGAGCAAAAGAAACATCTCATTTATTCAGGAACTGTCTGTTGAATGTTCTACTCCACACAAATGTACCAGGGAGTGGGGTTACAAGAGTGAATGCATCAGGCAGGTTCCCAGCCCACGTGGAATGTAGAAGTTCAGTGATCAAATACCTTGTCCTCTTCTCTACTTGCTGGTATACTGAATATCATGGACGCAGAAGTATTTGTCACTGGCTAGAAAATAATCCTAGTTCTTATACCGATTCTTCAGATTAAAAAGGAAAGGAAATTTTGTTTTGTTTTGTTTTAAACAGCACAAATTTCAGTTGAAGAGTGTCATTGGAAACCAAACTGCCGCTGTATACTGTATACTTAAGAATGCATTTGAATTATATCTATGAGTTTGAATAGCTCCTGTGTTTTCCTTGGAGGAAGATACCTGTTTGGTCAATAAGCCAGTAATGTGCCCTCCACTGAATTTTAAACATTTCTATATTTTCTGTTAGAGAGGAAGGGCTTTTCTTACAGGGCAGAACTGGGTTTTGTGTTAAATGGCTAAGTACCACTTACATTTACATTACAAAAAATACTAGACTCTATTTAGCATTCAGTTCTGAGACACAATAAAAAAATACGCATACTCCTGCTATGTGCTGATAGGAGTTGTTTTGGCTTTTAATAAAATTACTTTTTACTTAGAGCCCTTCCTCTTAAAAGCTCAAAGATTCACTGCATGCTTAATGGGCATGTGCAACTTTGTCTGGAATAATTTTTTCAAAAAGACCTCAAGTCCAGAGAGACTTTCTAATGTATTATTATTTTGCTTAAATTCAAGCATCATGTTGCTCACATATCTTCTAATCGTTCCATATTTGTTGCACAGATTACTGAGTTCCTTCACCTTTTAATCTGCCCACCATCAGATAAAATCTCTATTCATATTTTTCTCATTTTATGGAACCCCTGTGTCTTTTGCCCTCAATCAGCTATTCCAGGCTCTAAATTATGAAGGCTGTGGAGTGGTTTTTTTTTGTTTTTAAGTTTATTTATGAACAAGAGACAGTGTGTGCTTGTGCATGAGGAGGGAAGGGGCAGAGAGAGAGGGAGAGAGAGAATCCCAAACAGGCTCTGTGCTGTCAGTGCAGAGCCCAGTGTGGGGCTTGACACGGGCTCGACGTGGGGTGTGATCCCACCAACTGTGAGATCATGACCTGAGCCAAAATCCAGAGTGGGAGGCCCAACTGACTGAGCCACCAAGGCACCCCTGAAGGATGTGGAGTTTTATATGTGCTAATCGCAAGTAGAGACAGAACAGCAGAATCGCTGTGGTTTGTCTTTGAAGACCAAAAGATAACATGTAAAAGCTATGTGACTTTGGGCAAATTACTTAATCTCTCTTTGTTTTAGTTGTCTGTAAGATTAGGACATATTAATAGAAAATACACCTCATGTGGTTGTTTGAAGATGTGGCAGTTTTGAAACACGACCCCCAAATTCTTTGACACTTTTCTCATCAAAGTGTGAAGCTGATGTTCCCTTCTATTTAATTTAGCTTTAGGGCTGCCTTGTCAATGGGATACATTGTGTCACGTTCTGAACTCTTAAGAAACTAGAAGCTTCTGCTTCTCTCTTGTTCTACTAACCAACACAGCTGCCCAGTCAAGTGAGAAGTCCTAGAAGCTCATGGCCAAACTCACCTGGAGAGGAGTGATCATGAAATATGGGGGACATAGTTCAGCCCATAACACCTAGGTTGCTTCTACATATCCTACAATGCAAAGGACAATCTCCTCCTTGCTAGACATACACACAATAAAGGAGTACCAGGCCCAAAATTTGAACAAGGGCAAGACTCTGGTCTAGAGCCTTGGGTTAGCACAAAACAGGGGCTCAATAAATTTTTACTGAATAATGAATGTGTGGCTAAAAATACGTAACTGAAACAAAGTTTGATAAAATGGTGCTTCCCTGACTACATATCATAAACTCTGATATTTTCTTTTCTATATTCTTAATATTGGTTGCACCCACTAAATTGGTTTTTAAAATCCTGTAGTTCCATATTTAAAAAGTTATGATATATAGAATGCTACCACCATGAGTCATTAGACTGATTTTTAACAGAGAGGCTAAAATTCATTCATCAAAATTATTATTTTAAAGTAGCCTGGTAGGAAGGCAATACAGTTGTTCAAATGATGCTGCAGACTTTCAAGAGTTTCAGGGCACCTGGGTGGCTCAGTTGGTTGAGTCCGACTTTCAATTTCAGCTCAGGTCATGAAACTCATGGTTTGTGAGATTGAGCCCCAGTGACAGTGTGGAGCCTGCTTGGGACACTCTCTCTCTCTCTCTCTCTCTCTCTCTCTCTCTCTCTCTGCCCCGCCCCAACTCATGTGTGCACTTGAGTGCACTCTCTCAAAATAAATAAATAAACATTTAAAAAAGAATTTATTTGGGGGAATAGACATTCTTTCCTTCAGAGTTTGTGGAACAATCATGTTATTTTATAGTACCCCACTTGTTTTTTAATTGTAAATTTATTATCTCAGTTGAACAACTGTCTTACCATACTTGACTCTAAATGGCCTTTAGCTGCTATTAAAATTGAAATCCACCCTCAAATGGTGATTACTTGGCACCTGTTACAACAATCAAAATAATATGCTATCCGTTCTAACAGCAATTCAAAACAATGGCTTACAAAACAGTTTTCGTGGCTTAGAATAACTGCAGGATGACTTTGAAGGTAGCCATTCTTTTCTGCATATTTAAGTTCTGGTGATATGTTCAGTGTCTATTACCTACATGTATGACCATAGGCTAGGGCTTATGAAAATGTATGACTTTGCCCAGTTCTTCAAATCATATGTCCTTGTTCTGATTATCAACACATTTTAAGAAAAACTTTTTGTAGTTTTGTGGTGAGAAAAATTGCGTGTTGACTTTTACGGAAACGATGGAGAAAGAGTTGTTTTCCTTAAAGGCACATTGCAACACCCTTTGTCACTGGAAAAAGAAAACCAAATGAGTTCTCTTTGACAGCTTTATGCCACACTCAAAAGATATTTAAGACCCATATTTTCATCCTTTATTCTGAAATTATTGAAATAAATGCTACATAAATGGAATTCTAATTCAATGTAATGGATCACAAAACATGCTATAAAGATGAAAAGGATATTTTATTATGCATTATAAATATGTTTTATAACAGTAATATATGCTCTTGGTTTAAAAGAAATCTTTAGAAAGTGGTATAAAATGAAAAGTCTCAGTGTCTGGAAGAAATCAGTTACTCATTTCTTTCATATCCTTGAAACATTTAGCACATACAACATTTTTATGCAAATGAAGGTGTACTTTCAAATTGTTTTTTCCCTCTTTTAATGTAAAATTTATCTTGCAGATCTCACATTGGAGCATATTTGCTTGCCTCATTATTTTCCATACGTATTACTCCATGGTATGTGAAGTGAGAGACTGTCTGATTCCAATAACTAAGGTAAGGAAGACGTTCAATTATCTTTATTTCTCTTTAGCTCAACTTAATTTCATCTCAAGATTCAATTCCCATGGGTGGCCAAAAACGGAATCTCTGCTACTTCAGGGTTTTTCTGCATGGCATTTATCTGAGTTCCATGAGACGTATGTAGAGCAGAAGTCCTAAGACATGAATGTGGCATCTAACAAGATGTTGTCTTGTTGTTGTCATTCTGTGCTGGCAGATGCTAAGATGTCTACTGTTCCCCCTGGTCCTCAAGCGCTGCTCCATGTAGATCTCTCTTGATCATCCCTGACTCCTACTCCAATTCCCTTAGATTCTTTGGATCTCCCTGATGTGTCTACGCCACTCTCAGACACACGGGATTACTGAACCATGCTGGCATTTGGGAGCCCTTCCTTCCTATTCTGTTTTTTCAGCACTGTGTCAGGATGCTGTCAAAATTGGTGGTCATGGGAGTTGGCTGGGGGTGGGGGTAGATTCTAGTCCCATGCAGGCCTCTATCCAAGAGGCAGCTTTTCTTTTCTCTTAGACTCAGCAAAATGATCTGTAGCTTTTGTTACTAACCGTCCCTGGATTCAGCCTGAAATGGAAGGCTCCTTTCTAGTGCACATACATGCTCCTCCTGTAACTCCTTCCCTTTTCCCAACCCAGGAAGTTTTTATCTTGGAGGGCAGATAAATAGGTTTCTCTTGTTTACTGCACAAGCTTCTAAATATCAGGGTCTAGGCATTTGAAACTCAAAAGCCAAATGTTCTCTACGTACTTGTCATTTGCATTCTGCTGTGCCATTTGTCCCCTGAAGCAAGGGACCCACTACACCAGGTGAAAAAGATAATCAGTCTTACCCCCAAAACAGGTAATATTACGAAATGTTATCTCGTCACATGTATATATGTCCTATTTGTGAAATATAGGTAGTAATTTCTGTTGTTCCATTGATTGCTGTTGCTGTTGTTCTAAGCCACATTAACCATCTTTGTCCATTAGCTTGAAAATTTATGGAAGAATATTGACAATAAAAGTCCTAGCTTTGGAATTCCCAGGAGAAAGTGCAAGGGAAAGTATCATTTAAATACTGATGGATAGGACAACATTTCCCCTCTGGAAAGGTTATACCACCACAATCTTGTACAGAAGTGCATACTTCTCAAAAATAAATAAAATAAAATAAAATAAAATAGTAAAGTAAAATAAAATAAAATAAAATAAAATAAAATAAAAAGTTCTGCTTCTCCATAGCTTTAGCCACTAGGATTTTATCACATATTTAAGTTTTTTCAGTCTGTTAACTGCAAGTATTATTTCCTGGTTTTTTGATTTTCCACCTTTAATTCAAAGAGAGTTTGGGGCACCTGGGTGGCTTAGTCTGTTGAGTATCCGACTTCGGCTCAGGTTATGATCTCACGGTCCATGAGTTCGAGCCCCGCGTCGGGCTCTGTTCTGACAGCTCAGAGCCTGGAACCTGCTTCAGATTCTGTGTCTCCCTCTGTCTCTCTGCCCCTCCCCAGCTCATGGTCTGTCTCTCAAAAATGAATAAACATTAAAAAAAATTATTAAAAAAACAAAAACAAAAGAAATTGAACATATTCTCACATTGTTTTAGCCCTTTGCACCTTATGTTCCCTAAAATGCTTATTGACATGAAAAAGATTGTGTTAAATAATCCTAAGGTGGTTTAAATAGAATCTTTTTAAGAGTTACATATTTGCTTATTTTTGTTTTGGGAAATGGATTACATAGAATTTAATGCAACTATTTCCCAGTCTCTACTTCATTTGACAGCAAATAAATATTATATAGGGTTAAGAACAAAAGAAAAGTGAAAATGAAAAACTGAGTCGCCAACACACAGCTAATAATTATGCTCTGACTGTGTTGTAATATCTCCACACTGGAAAGAAAAAGCTAGTTCTTACCAGGATGGTGTTTGTCCCAAGGGTCACATGTTAGCAGCCATGAGAACTAACAAAGTCAGTAAATGTCCCATGAGCACGTGTAATTATGCAAAGATCCCAGTAACTGATTAGTACAATGGATTTTGGTCTCAATGCAGGTGATTGCATCGTGTCCATTTCACATGTCCTGTGCTGTCACTGCTTCCGAGTTTCCACTAGAGTAGATTTGGTGCCATGTAGGAACTTCAGGAGGAATAAATGAGGCCTGATTGCCAACTGCATGATTAGTTTTTCCACACCTTAATTATGTAACATCCAAAATATCTGACTTTTCAGTCTTCAGATCTTCTTCATGCCCATTTCGTATATTTCTTACTTCATACTTACTTGTATCTTACCAAAATTAGCATACTGTCTTCCAGCTAGCAAGTGCCTTACAATATGCATAACTCCTTAGAACCACCGTGCTGCCCCTTTATCTTGATAATTGCTACCATGCCCTGAAGCCATACTATGTGCCAGGCAACTCTCCTGGCTAATTGTCATCCACCCCCATTTTACAAACAGAGCCGGAGGCTCAGAAAAGGCTAAACAACTTGCCCAGAGTCAAAATCCAGTAAATTCCAGAATCAGCTTTAACAGGTTCTGGGGGTTCTGATAAATTCTGCAAGGAAAAAGGAGGGAGATTTTTAACATGAGCTGGGCAATTTCTCAGAATAGACTTTGCTGCTTAACAGCTAGCCACACCAAGGCCTCCTGTACATTGCTTTGCCTCTGGGCAGCTAGCTGTTCCTTCAGTGCTCTGACCAGTTCTGTTTAATCCTGTTTAAAAATTCTAAGGATGAGTAAGGCAGCCTGTGTTACCTGACCCTCTGACAATTTTTCAAACTTGGACAAAGGCGCCTTAGGAGGAATAGACTAGATTCCTGATTCTCCACCCCACCTTTTGGACTCATTTCCCCCATGGAAATGGTTCTGGAAGGGATCATTTCCCTGCTTTCTGCTTCTTCATTCACCCCTCACAGTCTTCAGACACTTCATCTCACCGTATTTAGCTGACTTACAGAGTGAGCTTGGAAAGGGGCTTTCCCTCAAGAGGCAGAAAGAGAAAGAATGGAATTTGGAAAGAAGGGATTGAGAGACCATTAATCTTGTGAAGGAGGCTCATTGGTAGTGGAGGTGTTGGAGTTAGATCTGGATAATGGAGCCCTTGAAAATATCTCAAGAACACAGGAGTTTGAGAAAAGCAATGCTCTTCAGGTAAATGTAAATTGAACAACTTTTCGGGATAGCACTTTGGCCAGATTGTCACAATCCATAGCCAGAGACCACAGCCACTGAATTCCATGCCTCATAACTCAGCCCAAAGCAAGCCTGAAAGTCTAGCCCCTCATTATCCTTATGAAAAGTAATTTTATTTGGGGGTTTAAAACAGGGAGAGTAGCCCTCATATGACCTGGAGGCTTTAGACTGCAGTGACCGATTTAATATCCTCGTTTTGCAAAACCTAAGGTTCACGAAGGTAAAGCAGCTTGTCCAGGACAACCCAGAAAAAGAAATATTTCTGCTTACATTATGATTTTTGACTACTATTAGAAGAACATTCCAGTTTAACATTTGTGATCCATTTAATACATAAATGTTGCAGAAAATTCAAGTGTCCCTGAGAAGCATTTTCCCGTTTGAGAGCTAACACTTCCTGAACTAAGCACAATGCCGGGAGCAGTGCTATACCTGTCTGCAATATTTCACTTAATTTTTACAATATCCCTGGGAAGAAAGAAATTGTAGAAATCCCCATTTTATAGCAGAGAAAATAAAAACTCAGAGATTTTAAGTAATTTGTCAATTGCTAATATGTAGCATCTTACCCAAGTTTTCGAATTCCAAAGCTCAAGCAGGCTCATAACTTGTGTTACATGCTGAGTTGCTACACAGCCTTGGCAATATTTATTTATTTATTTATTTATTTATTTTATTTATTTATTTTTTTAATTTTTTTTTTCAACGTTTATTTATTTTTGGGACAGAGAGAGACAGAGCATGAACGGGGGAGGGGCAGAGAGAGAGGGAGACACAGAATCGGAAACAGGCTCCAGGCTCCGAGCCATCGGCCCAGAGCCCGACGCGGGGCTCGAACTCACGGACCGCGAGATCGTGACCTGGCTGAAGTCGGACGCTTAACCGACTGTGCCACCCAGGCGCCCCAGCATTGGCAATATTTAAAAGGAATCCAGGGCCACACCTCAGAGGGGCTTACATTTGCTGTTCCTTCTCCTGGAATGCTCTTTCTCTGATACCCACAAGGTTTAAACTTGCACTTAACTCATGTCTCTGCTCAAATGTCACCTTATCAATAGTACTTTCTGACCACTTTGTATAAAATACGCCCCCCCCACCACCTACCAACACTTCTTATTCCCCACTTACTCTGTCTCATTTTCCTACATAGAAATTATTATCATGTGACATGCCATGCTTGTACTTCTGCATTGTATCTCTCTTCGCTCAGAAATGTAGTCTCCATGAAGTCGGGAGCTGGAGTCTGTTCCCCAGATCTCCAGGACCTAGAAGAGTGCTTGCCACACCGTAGATGCACACTAAATATTCGTAGAATGAATAAGTGAGTGACTGAGTGAATGAATGAATCAAGAAGTACATCCCATCCCCATCACCAGTCTCATACGATATCTATCACAGAAGCATCTGGGGAATTCCAGGCAGTGTGATTGAAAAGGCATCTGATTTTTTTTAAAAAATCCAGTTGAATAAAAGAATATTGCATTATGTCAGTGGCTGGTATTAAAGCATAGGAGGGCATAAACTTGCTCTTCAAGTACTGACAGCTGGCAGAAGAACGCTCAAGTCTGCTCTCCTGGTCTGTCCTGCTCCTTCCTCCTTGCATAGCTATGTATATTCAAGAGTCACTGGGGACACTCAATCTGAGAAATGTAGAAACAGCATTTTTTTTCCTTTTTGTAAGCCAAACACTTATTCCCAGTGGGTAACATTTAGCAGTGAAGTGGTTTTTTTTGATGCTAGCACTTATCAGTGTTTCAGAAATATATGGTGTAATTAAATTACTCAAAGGTTGTGCTTTAATCAGGAGCAAATTTAATGAACAATTCAAGCTGTTCATTGTTAGGAAATGGGAAGAGATTGACAGAATGTTTTCATTACAGCCTCCAGAGTCATCCAGAAGAGGGTGCTAATGTTCTTTATGAAATATACCAAACACAAATACACTCTCACTCCACAAAGCTTTCTTACATAACTGATCAAGTGATACTAACTATATATATGCACTGAACGTTAAAAAGAAAATGTATACACATAGGCAGCTCAGGAGTCGAAATAATTGCTTATTGATAGCACAAAAATTTCTTATTTTAAAGTTTTATTTAGAGAGAGAGCAGGGGAGAGGTAGAGAGAGAAGGAGAGAGAGAATCCCAAGCAGTCTCCGTGCTTACAGCAGGACTCAAACTCACAAATCGTGACATTGTGACCTGAGCCGAGATCAGGAGTTGGATGCTAAACCAACTGAGCCACCCAGGCACCCCAATAGCACAAAAGTTTTTAAAAGTTAGGACAGTTTATTTTTTTTAATTTTTTTTGTTTTTTTCCCATTTTTATTTAAATTCCAGTTAACATACAGTGTAATATTAGTTTCAGGTGTACAATACAGTGATTTAACACTTACATACAATACCTGGTGCTCATCCCAGCGCGTGAACTCCTTCATCTCTATCACCTAGTTAACTCATCTGCCCTCCCAACTCCCATCTGGTAACTATCAGATTGCTCTCTATAATTAAGAGTTTGCCTCTTGGTTTGCCTCTCTATTTTTTCCCTTATGTCCGTTTGTTTTGTTTCTTAAGTTCCACATATGAGTGAAATCATACGGTATTTGTCTTTCTCTGACTGACTTATTTTGCTTAGCATAATACTGTCTGACACCATCACTTTGTTGTAAGTGGCAAGATTTCATTATTTTTTATGGCTGAATAATATTGTATTATATATATACACCATTTCTTCTTTATCCATTCATCAATCAGTGGACATTTGGGCTGTTTCCATAATTTGGCTGTTGTAGCTAATGCCGTTATAAGCATTGGGGTGAATGTATCCCTTTGAATTAGTGTTTTTGTATTCTTTGGGTAAATACCTAATAGTGCAATTGCTGGATTGTGGGGTAGTTCTATTTGTTTTTAAATGTTTATTTATTTATTTTGAGAGAGAGGGAGAGAGAGAGAGAGAGCGCGCATGAGTGGAGGAGTTTGCAGAGAGAGAGGGAGAGGGAGAATCCCAAGCAGGCTCCATGCTGTCAGCACAGAGCCCTATACAGGGCGCAATCTCAGTTTCAAAATTAGGACAGTTTATAAAATGTACCTCAGTTCTGGACACAGTAGTTAACAATTGACTACACTACCACCAAAAATACTTTCTATCACCAAAAAATGCCCAACAGAGTTAATACTGTGGTATTTCATGAAACCATTAATCTCTATGCAACCTAATAGATGAACAAAAAATATTATGGCTAAAATTTAATATTATAGATAATTATATATTTAAAATGAAAGTTAACAAACACTCTTCTTTTGATCAATAGCATATTCTTCTTTCAGATGCTTTTCTTTTGATGGTAGATAAAGACGACTAGTAGTTATTGCTTAACTGTAATTCAAGAAAAATTATATAGATTCTGGTTATCTACATTAGATGAAAACAGATTTAACATTGACATCTTTTCTGGTTCACTTGGTCAAAAATAAGATTTCAGAGAAGATGAAGTTTCTGTGAACTAAGTAATTCTCAAAATTCTTTTCTGCTTGTGCTTTACAGGTAGAGGTTGAAGATAGCCAGGGCAAAACCACCTTTCACTTATGTTTAAAATGTGCCCTAATTTTTCTTCCTTATCCTAGGTTTTCTGAGCTGCTGTCTTTACAGTTCAAGCAATTTGTATTTTGATTATTTCTATGACGTGAAGCAGTGGCAAACTGAATTTTCTGTGGGCAAAACAAATGCAAATAAGAAGCTTTCTAGGTCTGCCTAAATGAGTTACTTAGAATACAAATAAGAAAACCCATGCTGAAAGACCGCTAAAGCTATTTTTACATTCCTCTATTAGCTTCTGGGCAGAGTAGCTTTGAGAGGACGTAGGCATTGCTTTTAAGCTCGATAGGTAGATGGTCTTAAGTAAAGTTCGAGCTTGTAGAACAGGACTCTGACTGGAAAGAAGCACTGCCTTTGCATGAAAAAGGGGTCAGCTCAGTCATTGCCACACAAAGCGTACCTGCCGCTTTCAGGCCTACGTTGACTAGCAAACTGAAGTGGAGGAACTCAGGCAGACGGAAGAGTTGGAGAACCACGCATCCTCTGCCTGTTGTGTGCTTTGCAGGATGCTACATTTCCTGTGCTCTCTTGCCGTCCGTCTAGATGGGTTTCACTAATGGAAGGCTCTAGTGGAAGCCTGGAGAGCTAGGGAAGGATAAAAGCCAGGATATCCCCCACTGCTCCTGGCTCTGTTTCAGGTGGCAACGCCGAGAGTTGCTGCAATACCAGTGTGGCTCCAGTTCCTAGAGGATGTCGCTCCCTTCGATGATCTCAGTTCCCATTAGACAGGCCCACCAGGTGACCCTGACTCCTAAACTCTGGTATAGCCACCTCCTGCTTTTGTCACTCCAGCCCTAGGTGAGTGGGAGCCACCTTGCTTTTGCTAAACGTAAGGTTGCTTCATAATGCTCTTTGGTTCTTTAGCTCTTCCATCAGTAAATAAGCAATTCCTCGTACTGGATTTTTTTGTGTGTTTGAAATACTTAAAGGGCTCTTGTTTTACTGATACAGAAGACCATCTTTTGTGCTATAGACATTTTTGGAAAGGAATCACTGTGCCAGTTTAACCTGCATATTTTATTTTGCAGCTTCTTAAACTCAGTCTGGTTTGGCATTGAAAAACTGAGATTTGATTAAAAACTATCTGCTCTACCAGTTTCTGCTGTGCTCACCACACGCAAAATGACCACATACATAACTCTGAGGAATTTATGACAATGTGACATGTCTGGTGTGGCTATTTTTAACACATATTCTGTATTATTATTCAACTCTTTAAATGTTTATGGATTATTAAATGCATCTATCAGGAAAGAAATAAACAACCCCCCAGCTTCATTCTTGATGAAGAGACCTCTGGATAGAATTATGTCTCACCATTTTGAATACATTATTCCATTGTCTTTTATCCGTTATTCCATATCTGTTTGTGAAACGGGGTTAGCAACAGCATCTTCCCCATCAAACTGCTGTGAACATTAAGTAAGAGAGTAAGAGATACTTAAAACCATGTCCAGGGGTGCCTGGGTGGCTCATTCAGTTGAGTATCTGACTCTTGACTTCAGCTCAGGTCATGATCTCAGGGTTGTAGGATTAAGCTCTGCCTGGGCCTTCTCAAGATTCTGTCTCACTCGACCCTTCTCCCCCACACATGAGCTCTCTCTCTCTCAAATAAAATTCAAACAAACAAACAAAAAACAATGTCCATCCCACATCAGTCACTGAGTAAATATCAGCTATTATGCTGACTATAAGTCTTTGTCGATATAATTGTTTTTCCTTCGTAGGAATGTGTATTTTAATCTCTAGTAGCATTTAAGAATTTTGCTTCTGTTTAATATTCTGCAGTTTTGCTAACAATGATTCTTTTAGATATGAATTTGTTTTTAGCTGTCCTATTTAGGTCCTGGGGTGATCCTTAAATCTTAGGATTGATGACTTTTTTTTCAATTCTGGAAAATTCTCAGCCATTTTCTTTTGTAACATCAGGTCTCCCATGTTCATTTAATTTTATCTTAGAATTCCTGTCAGACATAGTTTAGACCCTGTCTTCCTATTTTCCATGACTCAACTTCTCTTATTTCTCTGTTACACATTCTGGGTCATATCCTTAGATCTATGTTCCAATATATACAGTATTTTTTTCCTGTGTATTTGTTTTGTTGTTTAGTTAATTGCTTTTTTTAAGTTGTAGTAAGTTATGATTTTCATTTTAAGATTTTCATTGTATTCTTTTCCATTTTCCATATCTGTTCTTTTTTTATACTGTTTTGTGCTTGCTTTATCCTTTCTATTTTCTTTTTACCTATTTAAATATTTTAAAAATAATCATTTTAGGGGTGCCTGGGTGGCTCAGTCAGTTGAGTGGCCAACTTCAGCTCAGGTCATGATCTCGCGGTCCGTGAGTTTGAGCCCCGCGTCAGGCTCTGTGCTGACAGCTCAGAGCGTGGAGCCTGTTTCAGATTCTGTGTCTCCCTCTGTCTGACCCTCCCCTGTTCGTGCTCTGTCTCTCTCTGTCTCAAAAATAAATAAACATTAAAAAAAAATTTAAAAATAATCATTTTGAAGTCCCTTTCAGATGATTTTCTATTTCTTGTTCTTAATGTGTAAATTCTTCTTTTTGTTATATCATCTAACACTCCATCCCAGTAATTCACTCCCTCTTGTGGTTTGAATCTTCAACTGAGAGCTCATCTTCAGCTGAGACTGATTTCCATGGCATTCCGGGTTCCCTGAGCTATGAAAATAACCCTGTTGGGGGATATTGGCTTTGCCTTTTCTGAGAGTTCATGGTTTCACTCTTTCTGGGTCCATTTCTTAAAATTAATTAATTAATTTTTAAAATTAATTAACTAATTTTTAAATTTGCATCCAAGTTAGCATATAGTGCAACAATGATTTCAGGAGTGGATTCCTTAATGCCCCTTACCCATGTAGCCCATCTCCCTGCCCCCCCCCACCACAACCCCTCCAACAACCCTTTGTTCTCTATATTTAAGAGTTTCTTATGTTTTGTCCCCCCTCCCTGTTTTTGTATTATTATTGCTTCCCTTCCCTTATGGTCATCTGTTTTGTTTCTTAAATTCCTCATACGAGTGAAGTCATATATTTGTCTTTCTCTCACTAATTTCACTTAGCATAATAATCTCTAGTTCCATCCACATGGTTGCAAATGGCAAGATTTCATTCTTTTTAATGGTCCAGTAATACTCCATTGTAAATATATACCACATCTTCTTTATCCATTCATCCATACATGGACATTTGGACCATTTCTATACTTTGGCTATTATCAGTAGTGCTGCTAAAACATTGGGGTGCATGTGCCCCTTCGAAACAGCACGCCTGTATCCCTTGGGTAAATATCTAGTAATGCAGTTGCTGGGTTGTAGGGTAGTTCTATTTTTAATTTTTTGAGTAACCTCCATTCTGTTTTCCAGTGGCTGCACCAGCTTGCATTCCCACCAACAACGCAAAAGAGATCCTCTTTCTCCGCATCCTCACCAACATCTGTTGTTGCCTGAGTTGTT